TTTTTTTTTTTTTTTTTTTTTTTTTTTTTTTTTTTTTTTTTTTTTTTTTTACATACCTCTTCTTACCTTACTCTTAATCTTGAAATTAAAAAATAATAATAAATTTTGAACCAAGATTCTTTCTTGATTGAATAATTGGCACCAACAACAATTTTTGAGTATGCCAAGCAAGGATTCAAAATAAGAACAAAATTTACGTTTAAATTAAATAAATAAATAAATATATATATAGAACTTGGCCTCATGTGGCCACATTTGATTGGCTTACACCTTTTGTCCTTATACCTTAAAAATACAAGATTTGTTTTTTCCTTCTACACCCACGGGTGATGCTATACTTGTCTTAATCATAAATTTTTTAGTTTAGAGTTATGATATTAGAGACACTAATCGAGTTTAATTAGTTTAATCATGTGAAGTTACTTCAAAATTTTGCTAACTTTAATTTAATAAACTAAATATTTGTGTTTGAGTTTATACACTTTCTTTGTTATTAGATCGTAAAGTGGCGTAACAGTGACTCGAACCCAAAAATGACATTCGAACACTGATATTGTTGTTAGATGATGAAAGTCCCACATCCAATAGTTTAGAGAATGATAATGGGTTTATAATCAAAGAATGCTCTCTCTATTTGTATGAAGCCTTTTAGACTGAGAACTTATACTCAAAGTGGACAATATCATACAATTGTGGAGAGTCGTGTTTATCTAACAATTGATACATGATATGTCAGTATCTTAATTAAAAAATGAAACAGTGTTAAGAGGGGGACATGGTTGCAGAGGAATCCATGCGAGGTTAGAAACAGCCACTTTGGTAATCATCTACCTTCACGACTATGCTATTTTTGTGTCCCACACCCTTTCCAACGCTACTTACTGTTCTTCTGCTCCAATTTTTTTTTTTTTTTTTTAAATCTTTAAAATGCTTATTATTTTTCGGATTCTTATACTATTGTTTTTTTTAATAAAAACATTATAATATACACAAATTAACCCACATTTCTATGTCACATTCTCAGACCTATGAGTTTAATTGCTTCAATCGAATATTCCTTATTGCTTTGTGTTCTGTGTTTCCTTTTTTTCTTTTCATCTTCATTTTAACATTTATTTACAAAATTGGTATATTTAAAAGTATTAAATTACAATAAATAAATATATATATTTTCGACATTTATTAAGAAATATTGGAATTAAAAATAATTTATTATTTATGACCAAGTAGGAGGGAACCAAACTGGCATTCCTTTGAATGTAACGCCCAAATCTGTAATTTACTAGATTCGATGACCAATCAAGTCCCCATTTTTTAATTAAAAAAAAAAAAGCACTAATTTCTGTAATAATTAATTACAAAGTATTTTTTCAAGAAAATAAAATAATGGAAATCATTGATTGATGAAGGCTACTGTTTGAAGTATGGGATTTTACTGCCACGTCATCATTTCCTTCATTTTCTTCGTAGTACTTATATCCATTTAAATATTAATGCATAACTCATTAATATTTTTCTAACATTATAATAAAAAAAAAAAAAAATGGAATTGCATGTGTTGACCGTAAACTCCGGTCACCAGAAACCCTAATCTGTGCATGTGGGAACAACGTACAAGGTGGCCATAATAATAAATAAATAAATAAATAAAAACCCTAAGTTTGTAGAGTTATTAAGGTGGTGAGATTTGGATTTATTTAAGATTTTTAATTACCTAAAAGCGTGTTTGGATAAACGACGAGATGTTGGGACCTGAAATTGTGGGAAGCTGTTGTTTAATTTTGTAAATAAATAATTAGTGAGTAATAAAAAAACTGTATTATTCTCCAAATCATGGGTTAATATAAATGATTAAATTGTGTGGCTGTATTTCTCTTGGTTTCCGATTCCCGATTAACTCATTAATTAAACCTAATTAAGCTGTGTTTAATCCCCATATCATATACTTAATATTCGTGTACAGTTCAAGTCCCAAGGCTTGGCTCTTCTTGTATTACACGACAGACCATCCATGCATTTTGCTACCTCCCAGATGTGCCACTAGATTCTCTTTTTTTTATAACTCATATTTGAATTATAACAAATAATTCGAATAAAATGTGATTCATTTAATTACGTGGAAATTATTTATTATATATATATATATATATATTATTCCCTTTCCTCCCAGATGTGCTACTAGATTCTCTTTTCTTTTTTCTTTTTTTCTTTTTCGTCTGCATTTTTCTGTCACTCCATTTCTTGCCAAATGACGTGGAAAGTTTTTTTTTTTTTTTTTTTTTTCTGTCTTTTGAATTTCTTTTTGAAAGAGGAAAAAATGGTACGAAAAAATTAAGGGAAATTATTCGATTATTTTATGTAAATTTAAAAGATTAAAAATTGATTTACCCTTCAATTTTAAAATATGCTCCTATGTTTTAGGGTGTAACGTGGAGCGGTGTGATTGGGTTAAAGAAAGAGACAAGTTGGGGTAGCAGTCAGCCGTACACGTGTTGTCAAGGGGTCCACGTGGTGTGGATGCACCAAAGCCTACGCTACCATTTACCGCGCCTAAACCCAACTACCCGCCATTCCCCGTCGTCAAATCCACCGCCTTTTCTTCTTTTCTTTTCATCTATTTTCGCCTTTTTTTTTCTTTTTTTTTTTTCCCTCCCTTTTGCTTGTCGTGTCTTTTACTCCTTTTTTCTTCTTTTCCCCAACTTTTTTGCGTTTTTATTCATTTATTTATATCATTTTTTTTAATTTACTGTTTAATCTAAATAAAAAATAATAATTAGATTCCTTTTTTTTTTTTTTTTTTGTTTCAAATCAGATGAAACCTCCAAATTATTCCTCAAATTTCAAATCATTGGATTTTTTTTATAAAATAACTATTATATATCAATTTTTGCTTTAAAACTAATTTCTTTTAATGAATTATAAAATATATATTATCTAATTATTCATAGAAAAATAAAACAAAAATTAGATTTTTTTTTTAAATTTCATTTAAATTAGTTTATTGGAAATCATTGAGAGAATTTAAGTAAAATTTGAAATTATTTTGCAAAGAGAATTGAGGTTTATATGCCACCCCAACGTATATAAGTTTGTATGGAAAAATTTCAAATGCATCTACTATAGAGAAGTTTCATAGAAAGCGCGTTTAAAAATCATAAAGTTGACAATGATACGTAATAGGCCAAAGCAAACATTGTTTGTTAGCACTAGGCTTGACCTGTTACAAATGGTATTATAGCCAAACACTAGTAGTGTGTCAGTGAGAATGTTGGGCTCCTAAGGAAGTGGATTGTGATGAAGGTGTTTTGAAAATCTCTCTATAGTAAATGTGTTTAAAAGCGTGAGGCTGACGGTGATACGTAAGAGCCAAAGTGAACAATATTTGTTAGCGGCGAGTTTTGAGCTGTTATAAATGGTATTAGAGTCAGACACCAAGCGGTGTATCAACGAGGACATTAGACTCCTAAAGAGGTGGATTATGATAAGAGGTGGATTATTAAAACGACTCACCTACTGTGGTGCTTGTTGGTTGGGTCCTGTGATTGAAGGAACATAACGGGCCAAATTCAGCCACTTTTTCAGTAAGCCCGTTTGTAAGTTGGCCCATTTAAAAGGTGTCGGCCCACGTTTGAAATGGGCCAGTGAGTCCAAATGGATCCGAACGATAGAGGGTTAATTTAGGGATTAAAAATTCAAAGGGTTCCTGGAATGGGGATTCATTATTGTTGTTGTCGTTATCCTCGTATTTTGTAAGAGGATCCGTCAGTTCTGTTTGCTAACGTGGCTAACACTCACGTGGATAATCAGATAATATGGGCCCTATAATTTGTTCAAAAGTCAACCCTCTGACATGGTCAAAGATAAACCACCAACTCACACCTTTCAAAAAACAAATATCTATTTTGTTTTTTTTCTCTAAATTTTAATTAAAAAAAAAACCATATGTACTCTGTGACTTCCCATGAATGAGAAGTACATGAATGAATTGACAAATAGATTTTCAGTGACTAAATCATAAAAATTTCATAATTTAAGCATGTTTCACAATTCTAGTATGCGTGTGAGCGAGTAAGGACGAATCATGCTGAAAATAAATGGGTTAGTTTAGTGTTTGATAATAGTCTTCACTTTTAGAATCGAGAGGTAAGTAACATGACTATGTTGTGGAGGATGCAAAAGAATGACAGAGATATCTGTTAGACGAACACGACTCTCCACAATGGTATGATATTGTCCACTTTGAGCATAAGTTCTCATGACTTTGCTTTGGGCTTTCCAAAAGGCCTCACACCAATTGAGAGTGTATTCTTAGATTATAAACCCATGATCATTCCCTAAATTAACCGATGTGGGACTTTCATCATCCAACACCTCCCCTCGAACAAACCACGCCTCCCCTTAATCGACGCTCGACTCCTTTGGAGTCTTAGTTCGAGGGGAGGTGTTGGATGATGAAAGTCCCACATCGGTTAATTTAGGGAATGGTGGGTTTATAATCTAAGAATACACTCTCCATTGGGATGAGACCTTTTGGGAAGCCCAAAGCAAAGCCATGAGAGCTTATGCTCAAAGTGGACAATATCATACCATTGTGGAGAGTCGTGTTCGTCTAACAATATCAAGATCCTGAATTTGAATTTCGAATCTTAATCCCAACACAATACGTTACATATATGATATACAATGTGTAATTTAATATATTTTTCAACGTGTGTTTAAGTAAGATATTAGGTGGCTTAGAAAATTGAACTATAAGCATCTCTAACACCTAGTTAGTACATATCATAATGATTAATTAGAATTTAATTATAATATTATATCACCCAATTTCCAAACTGGCCGGAGCTCAACGTGTTGCTTATCTCTGTCTCTCTCTTTGTTTCTCTCTGTTTCTTGTTCCTTTTCCAAATGACCTCTCCACCCCTCCGCCGCTGCCATGTCCTCACCGGCTTCCTTATCCATTCCATTCTCCTCTCCCACATCTCTCTCGCCGCCGCCCAATCTGGAGGACCCGCTGTTCCCAGTCCGCCGGAGATGTACTCTTTCAAACAGACAATCAGCAAACGAATGGCCGTCGTTTTGATTGTTCTCGTTTGCTTCTTTATCGTTCTTGCCCTCCTCTCCGTTTACACCCGCCAGTGCAACGATCAACGTTTTGGCGGCCACCTTCTCCTCCCCACAGCCGCAGAAGGAATCAACGGCCGACCAAGAAGGGCGGCGCGTGGTCTCGATGCGGCTGTTATAGCTTCTTTCCCAACATTCGTGTATTCCAACGTAAAGGGTCTCAAAATTGGGAAAGGCGCATTGGAATGCGCCGTTTGTTTATCCGAATTCGAAGATGATAATACGCTGCGTTTGTTGCCGAAATGTAGCCATGTCTTCCACTCCGATTGCATCGACGCTTGGTTGGTGTCTCACTCTACCTGCCCTGTTTGCCGCGCCAGTCTCGTCCCCAAACCCGGCGACATCTCCTTTGCTGCTCTGCTCGATTCCGATTCAAGAATCCACGGCGATGACGGAAATCGAGTGGCCGGATTGGAAAATTGTCAAGTGGGTATACGAATTCCAGAGGGGAATCCCCAAAATCAGGGATTGAATCAGAACGGTCCAATTAGGTCGCGATCGACGGGATGGAGATTGATCGGACTGTTCCCTCGATCCCACTCGACGGGACACTCGCTGGTTCAAATAGGGGCGGATTACGAAAGGTTTACTCTGAGATTGCCGACGGAGGTGAGAAGTGAGCTGTTGAATTCGAATTTGAATCGGGCGAGGAGCTGCGTGGCGTTGCCGAGGGTGCAGAGTTCGAGACAGGGGTATCGTAGTGAATTGGGGAAAAATGGGTTTGTGGGCAATCGAAGCCGCAGTGGGCGTTCGGAGTGGTGGACATTTTTCCCGGCGACGCCGTTGTTCAGAAGGGAGGGTTCTAGAAATGATGCAAATGTGAATGTGAATGGAGACGGCGGTGGACGGCCGTTTGTACGATTGCGAGATGATGGACATGGTCAAAGTCAACAATAACGTTGACGGTGTTGGCTTCTGGACATTTGGGCCGATGTGGGCTTTTGTGTGATTTTCTTAAATTTAATTTTATAAAGAAAAAGAAAATTCGAATTTCTACGGGAAGAAGGGTAAACGGTCAAAAGTGATTAGTTGTGGCGCGTGGGACACACGCGTGTATAGAAAGTGTTGATATTTTGTTAATAAATTAGGAAAAAGTATTTACATATGTAAAATTAAGTGGTTATTTGTTGAAAATTATTCATAATTTTTTTTAATTATTTGAAAATTATTTGTTTTCATTTTAATAGAAATTATAGCGGAAGTAAAATTAGCACCGTAACAACCCAAGATCACTACCGACAGATATTGTCTTTTTTGAGCTTTTTCTTTCGAGCTTCTCCTTAAGGCACCAGACAATATGCCAGTGGAGACGTTGTGCCTTGAATGGAGGTGGATTATGAGATTTCACATCAATTGGAGAGGGGAACGACTGTCAGCAAAGACATTAGGCTTTGAAGGGGGGTGAATTGTGAGATCTCACCTTGTTAAGAATGAGAATTATAATTGGGATCGAAGGTGTGTGATCTTCATTGATATTCATAACGTTTAAATAAGATACAAGCTACCAACAATGGTCAAATAAACAAAAAAAAAATGATTATAAATAACGATATTATGCTCTATAAAACACGATTTCGATGGTAGGATAAGAAAAGAATAGACAATTGGTATAATTTGGAATTAGAATGTCTCTGAAAAAAGAATGTGATTATATTTATATATTTAATATTATTTGTGGCGCCGACAAACTGACCAAAAATTATGGAAATTACCTATAAACTTCCGAATTTAGAAGAATGAAACATCCAAGAAAAGAATTTAAAAAAGAAAAAAAATACAACATTGGTTACCGTGTGACAATAATTCATCAATGTGAATCATTATTTTAACGTTTTGCTTTCCAAATATATAAAATTAAAAAAAAGAAAAGAAAAAAAAAAAGAGTCAAAGTTGGATCCTTTTATTTGATCGCCTTCCGTTTCTCAGTTGTTATTGATCGATCGTATGAACAATATGCAATGGCCATAGATCAGACCAAGAAGCTCAAGAATCTCATCGACGCTTTCAAAGATCAGGCCTCAATAATCAAAGCCACTTTCTCAATTCATCGCCGTTCATCTTCCATTAAAGTCGCCGTCGTCCGTGCCACCACGCACGGCGCCAGAAACCCACCTTCCGACGCCCGACTCGCTGCTCTGTTAGCCCTTGGAAATGACTTCCGTTCCTCCACGGCATTTGTCTGCATCCAAGCCTTGATGGAACGGCTTCATACAACCACGAGCGCCGCCGTGGCCATGAAATCGCTTTTCACTCTGCATATAATTGTAATTCGAGGTCCGTTTAATCTGAGGGATGAGGTGGCGTTTTCCCCTTATTACGGAGGGCGAAATTTTCTAAATTTGTCCGCGTTTCGCGACGTATCGGACTCGGAGATGAGCGAGTTGTCGTGTTGGGTGAGATGGTATGCAGGGGTTGTGGAACATATCAGGAAATTGGATTGGATTCTGTATTTTCGTTCAAGAAATCCCGAAATTGTGGAAGGTAAAGACAGGAAGATTCCCGAATTGTTGGAGGAATTGGATGTTCTTTTGGGTTTTTTAGAGCGGATTTCGGAAGTTCCCGAGTCGTTGCATGTCCAGAAATCGGATTTGGTTTACGAGGTTGTGAGATTGGTTCTGGAGAGTTACCGGTTGGTGCAGAGGGAGATTCGGGTCCGAGTTAACGAAATCGGAAACAGAGTCGAGTGGCTGAGTCGGGACGAGTTAACCGAGTCGGTGGAGATTCTGACTCGGATGGAAAATTGCAGAAGGAAAGTGAGTGTGTTGTTTGTGAACAGAGGGAAGAACGATGAGTTGTGGGAACTGGTGACGTGTACGAAAGGGAAACTGGTGGAGCGGAGGAGGAGGATGACGACAATGACCGAGTCGACTCGGTTGTGGAACCCGTTTGTTGAACCGGGTTCATTGAGACCGTTGGGCCCGGCTTTGCTTCCACTGACCGTTTCAACGGTAGGATAGTTCGAACCTTTTGTCTGTTTCTTTGAGCTTGAAATCCGTTAAAAAGAAAGGATTTTTTTTTTTTTTTTTTTTTTTTTTGAAAAATGTGAAAAAGTTACCTGTTATGTTTTTTTATTCCTTGGGTTTTGAGTTTTTACTCATTGTAAAGTGTATTGGTGTGGCTTTGTGCATAAATGACGTTAAATGAAATGGTTCGGTTTAGTTTGGGTTAGATTATTTTTTATGAGAAATAAATATATATATATTTTTAATAATTAAGGAAAGAACCCGACAACATTGTCGAGCTAAATTGGGTTGTAAACTTTATTCAGGTTGGTCAAGTTACCAACCCATGATTGGTCGAGCGAGATAAATATTATATCCTCATTCTTTATTTTACTTTACATAAATGGTTAATTAATTAATTAATTAGTATAATAATAACATTATATATACAAAATATAAAGTTGAAAATAAACATAATTAATGAAGGATCAAACGAGAGATATACAAATGTTTTGTAAAATATTTTAGGGCGGAGTCTTATCCTATAGTTGGGTTGGGTTATGACATATTTATAATGTTATGACGTTAATTAAAAATTTATATTTAAATCTTCAAATATTCAACAATATACTTTATAATTAAATAGGACGTCAACATCTTGTACTAAAAAAAAATATGAAAATATTAACAAGGGGGTGAATTTAATGGCCGAATAAAATTTCAAATAATTTTAATTTTAATAATTTAAGCCTTTAATTTCGTATTTAGTTACGTGTTTTGGTATTAAATTTTCTCAATAGTAGCATTTAATAGGTAATTAAACTTTAAATTTGTGTTAAATAGGTTTATAAATTTCAAAAGATGTCGATATGGATAGTTGTGATTGTGTTGCGTGGGTGTTGGTGGGCATGTTGTGTGTGAAAGGGTGATGGGAGTGTTGGTGTGGCAATCGTCCGCTCTGAGTGAGTCAAACCAACGTTGGATACCTACGACCAAGCAACATATACTCAAGCTTCTGACCTCGATTTCTTCTCAAACAAAAGAGTATGAGCATTAGTGTTTGCTATGCTTTACAACGTTTGAAACGAAGACATAAATTAATTAAGGTAAATCTACTATCTCTCTCACTAATACATCTGAATATAAGAAATTAAAAATGGTGTGAAAAGTGGTACACCACAATAAAACATTATTAAAATATTATTATTACGCCACAAGAAGCTTCTCATTGTCCTGAGGTGTCGACCACTCCTCTACGTGCTTCAATGCTTTCTCAGCCTAAATTTAAGCACCAAATGAATCAAATTAAGATGCCATTAAAACACTTACCATTATAAACACACCAATTCCATTTATTTTTACCTCTTTTTCCCAGTCTGTTCTAATTGTGATGATCATCAATATCAGAGTTTGAAACGCACTTCCTCCAAACAACATCCCTCCCCAAATGCCCTGTTGCAGTAAATTCAAACGAGTCAGTCGTAATCGATACGATTCGAAGAACATAGTTGTAGTAGTTAAGGAAGCACGTACCGATACGCCCGACTTGTAATACCATTGCATGACGAAACCAAGTGGGAGACCTATACCATAATAGCATCCGAGGTTTATGTATGCTACCCAAGCTTGCCAGCCTGATCCAACAGCCACTCCTGCAATATCCCATCTAATTTCTTCAATATTTGAACATAAATAGAATGTGTATCAGTGTTGATCGAGAGGGAAGAACCTGAAAGAACTGGTTGGATGCTGTTTAAGAGGATGGTAATGGCTAGCAGATTGGAGAGGGAATCCACTGCTTCCACTACGTCTCTGCTGCTTGAGAAGATCAGTGCTATCTTGCCATGAAATAGCACTATGACAAGACATATCGCTATTCCAATCACTGTTGACTGCGCCACTGAGACGATTGTTGCAAATTTGGCTGCCTTCCCGTTCCCAGCTCCTAGCTCGTTTGCCACTCTTACTCTGTTCCATATGGATTAAAGAGCTTTTAGTGATTCATTCATTGCTTGTGAAAAAGCTAAAAACTGTTGGTTTTTGTCAAGTGGGTATACCCGACACCAGCTAAGAAGGCTACAGGGATCATCATTTCCCACCCATTGATGCTCATGCTGTACAAGTTTCAACCACAAATTAATGACAATCATAATGATAAAATGAGGGTTGGGAAGATCATAAATGCTTAAAGATCTGATATTGTCTCTCCGTTTTTCTTTTTGGGCTTTACAAAGCATCTATTAGGAAGAGATTTTCACATTCTTATAAATAATGTTTCGTTCTCTTCTATCATCCATCTGCAATTTCACAATCCACCCCTTTGGGGCTAGTGTCATCGCGGACACTTGTTTACTGAAGGGGAACAAAGAGTGTCAGCGAGGATGCTAGGTCCTGATGGGAGTGAATTGTGAGATCTCATATCGGTCGGAGAGGAGAACGAAATACTCTCCCTAACAGAAGGGTGAAGCCCAAACAAAAGAAAAGTTAGTTTACTATTATGCATACCACACGGATAAGGCATCAACAGCGATAGTAGCATTTTCGAGATTTCCGGTCATCAATACGAGGATTCGAAAGTACCAATTCTCCAAGCTGCCATAACCCAATTGAGAATCAAATTGATTAATAAGTAAACTTTTGGAGCAATGGTATTTGATATCTTAAGAGCATAGGAATTACCAGAGCATGAGGCCAGCAGCAATGGAGAGTTTAAGAAATTCCCAAAGTCCATGAAAGGCTTTAACAGAGAATCCAGTCCATGTCAAAGGACACCAACCCCCAACAGTATAGAAATACAACCCCAAACCCAGAACCCACCAAGAAATATCAAGAGCAATAGCAGCCCCAATGACACCAAGCTGCAACTCATAAATGAATAGCCAGCTAGTGACAACATTCACCACCAACCCCACCAAAGACACCCAAGCAATCACAAGGGTCTTATGCTGGCACTGCAAGAACACCTGCAATGGAAACTGAAACGCAAAGCTAAAATGAAGTGGTATTAACCAAATCGCCACCACCCCAGATAGCTCCGCCACATCCTCCGCCTGTCCCAGCATTTTCAGAACCGGAGTAGCATAAACATAAAAGGGAAGTAACAAAAAACAACACAAGAACAGCATTATCCACGACCGCTGCAAGTAAATCCCCAACATATGAAACCTCTTAGCTCCATACGCTTGCCCACATAGCGTCTCCAATGCACTCGCCATACCCAACTGAAAATTTCAAAACAAACATATTCAAACAAACAAACAAACAAAAACCCATTTGAAATAACAAAAAATCATCTCCAAATTTCATACCAATAGCCCAAAATTGAACCCAACAATAACGGTATTAGCAATCGAAATGGAAGCGAGTTCAACATCACCAAGATGACCCGCAAACGCTTGGGTAATAACGTTCATAGAGAAGGTCGCAACACGGGCGAAAATGGTCGGGCCAACAATTAGCCATAGCTTCTGGGTTTCAACCCATAACTTCGACCATAGCTCCTCCGACCGACGAGTTCGATCTTCACCCCTTCGAATCAACGGCTGGTTAAGATCCGACGCCGCATCCGCCTTCACAAGGGCCTCCATCTGGGTTCGATGAGCAGCCCTTCCCTGCCCTTCCCTGCCCTTTTACGACCAAATGAATCAGAAACAAAAACAACAATTCTATATAGCCCTTACGCTGCAAGGGTATATATATATACACATATACATATATATATATATATATATGTAGGCCAGCAATGCGAAAACTTGTAAGCGCAATCGTTTCTCAAATCCTTCAAAGAATTTATTTTCGTTCATATTGTTTACATTAAAAAAAAATTAAAACCGATCCGCAATCCTCTCAACTTGCTAATTAAAGGTAATGTGTTATTAAATTATTGTTTCATTAATTTTTTTTTCATGAAATTTTTGTTGGAAGAACCCAATTGGTTTTTTTTTAATAATTTTTTTAAAAATTAAAAATTAATTTCATAGTCAACCAAATGTGATAAGCAATTTCTTTATTTTAGAGGGAAGGTAACATAACACGTGATATCCTTTTTCTTTTTTAATTATCTTAAATATCTTAAATATTATATCTAATCGCTCGGGTATAAATATTATATAATATTTAAAAAATAAAAAAGGAAAAAGAAATATTTAAATATTTGGACGTGTACACGTCACCTGAATTCAGAGTCTATTGAAAAAGGTTGAGTTGGAGTTTGGTAATGAGACGGCTAAGTGTTTTCAAACAAGTCCAACTAAATAAATGAATAAAGTAATAATTTAATATAATATGTCATTTTCTTAAAATATTTTAATAAATAAAAGTAGTTTTAGTAGTGGTCGGCTTTGCATTACAATAATTCAAATGGTAAATTAATAGAAAAGTAATTTTAAATTACCTTTTTAATCCCTAGTTACTCATCATTAATTATCAGACATATTCTCAACTAACTTTCACGTTTACTTGCTTTCACACCCATCCTATCCATCCCATTATATAAAATCAAATAAATATTTATTATTTCCCGCGTTTTTCCCATTTTAATTTTGACTTTTACGCTCATATTTCTTCCTTATAAGTCTATATCTTTCCCCTAATTAATTAATGTTGGATTTTTCTCGTAACAATTTTACATGTGAATATGTTTGTCGTTTAATAGGAATAGTCACTCAAATTGATTATCTTCTACCGAAGACCAAATCAGGCTGTCACTATTACTCAAATTGATATTCTCGACCAGAAGACCAAATCAAGCGGTCCCCTTTTGGTACCACACCATACCATGTCTTCAATAATTCACATTAAAATCCTTATTTTGTCCTACTCACACTTATTTACCACCTTTAATAATTCATATTCTAAGATTTATATAATTTAATTTAATACTCGATTGATTTATATAGGAGTTGGTATAGCTGAGTTATTTACCGACCAGTTATTATTATAACAAATTCATAGTTAAATAAACATTTTTATGTCTTGAAAATAAGTTCAAATTTGTTATTATTAGGTAGGATTTTGTTGGTATATAGCTACATAAATTATTTCTCCTTTTAATTAAAAAAAAAGGAAAAAAAAAAGGGAAAAAACTGTGAAGCAATCCAAGACAAAAAAGGTAGCAGGTCACCAACCAATCCCCCAATCTAACTCCAACGGAGTAATATTAAAATAAATTTGTTTCTTCTTTTTTAATTTATAAAATTATAAAAAAAAAAAAAATATGATACTGTC